TTTTTTTAAATGCCCGGACTTGCCTTTTTTGGCAAAGGGGAACATTTTATTATAGGGATAAGGTCACTTTAAGCACCCCACAGAGCTGATGGTGGTCCCTGCCTCCATCACATGGGGGGGTCGGGGACATTGCAGAGTCCGTACGGCCGGCCCCGTCCTCCCAGCTGTGTCAGGCACAATTAGCATTATTTTGCACTTAATGACTCCCCGGAGCCGTGTCACCAGCCACTGGCACCAGCAGCAGCTGTCACCGTCACCTCGCCGTGTCACGTCTCTCTCTGCCCCGGCTCCCGGCGCTCTCCGCTCGCCAAGGTCGTCATGCCGTCCTGGGTAGTCGTACGACGCGCGAAGGGCTCAGATCTGGATAATATGCAGGCGGGTGGGCAGGACGTGCCGCTGACACCCCTCATCCTCTCCCACTATTATTACCCGCGTGTGTTATTAAGCAGCTGCGAGCTGACGCACGCCGCGGGGCTGGGGCACGAGAAATGGCAGGTTGTAATCTGCCGGGTGGGGGGACACACCTGTGACGGGGGCCCATCGTGAGACGTGAAGCATGTTCTAAAATTAAGGAATCTGTGTCAGAAAAGTCGCAGAAATAAAGAAGGGGAGTTTAGGGACCCTGAAGAGGGGAGGCGAGCAGTTTGGACAACTTCTTAAAGGGAATGCGCAATCTTTAAAAATCATTTTCATATATATGTGCGGATGTTTCCAGCTCAGCGGAGGCGGTGCCTTGGGGCAGAAAGGTAGACACCCCTCATCCTCTCCCACTATTATTACCCGCGTGTGTTATTAAGCAGCTGCGAGCTGACGCACGCCGCGGGGCTGGGGCACGAGAAATGGCAGGTTGTAATCTGCCGGGTGGGGGGACACACCTGTGACGGGGGCCCATCGTGAGACGTGAAGCATGTTCTAAAATTAAGGAATCTGTGTCAGAAAAGTCGCAGAAATAAAGAAGGGGAGTTTAGGGACCCTGAAGAGGGGAGGCGAGCAGTTTGGACAACTTCTTAAAGGGAATGCGCAATCTTTAAAAATCATTTTCATATATATGTGCGGATGTTTCCAGCTCAGCGGAGGCGGTGCCTTGGGGCAGAAAGGTTACAGGGGGCAGGACCAACCCAAAATAATGTCACCATTGTGGTAACTGTTTCCTCATTTATTTAAAAACATTTTTTGGCCACCTCAGTGACTGTCATCCAAAGAACCAAATGGGGGGAGAGGTGGGTATGGGTTGGAGGGTATAAAGGGAGGTGCGGTGGGTATGGGTTGGAGGGGGTGTGTAGTGTATATAGGGAGGTGCGGTAGGGGGGGGGGGGTGGAGGGTATATAGGGAGGGGCGGTGGAGGGTATATAGGGAGGGGCGGTGGAGGGTATATAGGGAGGGGCGGTGGAGGGTATATAGGGAGGGGCGGTGGAGGGTATATAGGGAGGGGCGGTGGAGGGTATATAGGGAGGGGCGGTGGAGGGTATATAGGGAGGGGCGGTGGAGGGTATATAGGGAGGGGCGGTGGAGGGTATATAGGGAGGGGCGGTGGAGGGTATATAGGGAGGGGCGGTGGAGGGTATATAGGGAGGGGCGGTGGAGGGTATATAGGGAGGGGCGGTGGAGGGTATATAGGGAGGGGCGGTGGAGGGTATATAGGGAGGTGCGTGAGAGGGGTGGTGGTGGAGGATATGTAGGGAGGACATGACGTAGGTTACTGGCAGGATCACCGGGTGAAAATAAAGGTAACAAAGCCTGAAAAAAATAAAACTAATGCGGCCGCCACATCTAAGGACCATAAGCTCCAATAGGTGACATTTCTGTTCTTGGGTACACATGCGCTTAATGTTCATTCTCTGCTCCCCTAGATTCGGAGCTGGACCCCCTGTTACTGGAAGAGAAGCTGAGCCTGGAATTGGTCTCGGAGAATCAGGAGGCGAAAGAGAGCGAACCCAGCCAACAGAAAGACCAGACAGACGGCGAGAAGAGCCCCAGCGAGTCGGGGGCCAGCGCCTCCTCCTTCGAAGAGCTGGACCTGGACGGCCACGCGGCGGCCGCAAAGAGCCAGCCGGACAATCAGACGGCGTGGAGCAAAATGCCGGAAACGTGGGACAAGGAGAGTCCCGAGGAATAAGAGACCGAGGCTCCGCCAACGTCCGTAGACCTTCCTCAGGAATAGTTAGCGCGCTTTTAACCGCCCGTGCAGATCAGACGCGGATGAGGAGACGTGACTCTCGTCCGCTTTAGTTTACACGCCGGCCGCTTCCTTCTCAGAGACACAAAGATCTTTCTTCCTCGTTATTTATCACCGTGCGTTCTCTCCTCAGCCGGGGACACCATTTTTTCTTTTGATGAGAAGGGAATTAGCCGCAGTCTAGGGAGCGTATAGAAGATGCTGCGTAGGACGCACAGCGGCGACGATACAAAGAGTAGACAATATTATCCTCCGGGGGGCCTAAAAGAGATTCTGGAAGCGCAGAATAGTTTTGTTTTTCATGTATTTTTATTAGCGTTTTTTTTTTTAAATTCCATCACAATGGAACAAAGCGGCTCGACGGTGAAGGGACAGGCGCGATCCAACGTAGACGCGTTCCGCAAGGAAACACGTATGTAGAACGATCCAGCAACAACTGTACACTGAATCGGGGGGCAGGCAACCTCGCAACTCCAAATCCCATCATTCCTCTGGCATGGGGGGGGGGGGCAGGCGTGGGGCGGTTTATAATCC